CTGGACGGCCCCCAGCTACTGTCCTTCCACTTCCTGTTGCTATCCTGCTGGCCCAGGCGCGTTGTCCACAGATGCTCAGGCTTCAGATCAAGTTTACTCAGAAGTCCTGTTCCCATCCTCTGGCTTCCTCTGGACTCTCTCTTCTCCCTCCACCTGATCCGTTTCCATGGAAACTGCTGGGCTCCGGCATCCCTTTCATCCTCCTTTCTGGGAGGCAAGGCTTGCTCTCGGGCACCCCGGCAGCCAGGCCTGGCCATTAGGAAGACCAGAGAAACCCTATCCGGAGGAAATCTTTCCAGGCGGAGGGAGGAACCGGGCTGGGCTTCTGATTTTTTTTTTTTTTTTCTTTGATGCTCTCAAAGGGCACCAGGTGCTCTGAGGAGCTCTGCCCATGACCTCCGCCCGGTGGATGCTGGCTGGAAAGCTGTTTGGCATCTGCTCTGCATCTCGTCGTCTCATCATCGGCAGGCCGCCCCGGTCCCACCACCCAGGGGGAGTGGTTCGGGGGTCTGAGGCAGAAGGCAAAGTTCAGTAGATCTTCTTATGAATGCTAGGTGCTGGGTCACAGCAGCGACTTCACCAGGTACGCTGCACAAATTTTTAAAACGTGACATACCTGCCGAACCTGGTTTGGCTCAGTGGATAGAGCGTCGGCCTGCGGACTGAAAGGTCCCAGGTTCGATTCCAGTCAAGGGCATGTACCTTGGTTGCGGGCACATCCCCGGTAGGGAATGTGCAAGAGGCAGCTGATCGATGATTCCCTTTCATCGATGTTTCTAACTCTCTATCCATCTTTCTTCCTCTCTGTAAAAAAAAATCAATAAAAATATATATTTTTTAAAAATGACATACCTGACTACGTAGTCAGAGGCACTGACTTCTCTCCCCCTAGATCTGTGGTCGGCAAACTGCCGGCTCACGAGCCACATGTGGTTCTTTGGCCCCTTGAGGTTGGCTCTTCCACAAAACTACCATGGCCTGGGCGAGTCTATTTGAAGAAGTGGCGTTAGAAGAAGTTTAAGTTTAAAAAATTTTGGCTGTCAAAAAAAATTTCAATCGTCGTACTGTTGATAGTTAGCTCTGTTGACTAATGAGTTTGCCGACCACTGCCCTCCCTAGGTTGTCAAATAAATAAATAAAATAATGACACCAGCCAACACAACAATAGCCGCCCAGGGTGGCTGAATCAAAAGTGTGCCTATTTTCCTTGTCAGATCGGAAAGCAGTGTATTTTTTGGAGTGCCACAGAATTTCAGTAATTAGTTCGTGTGTGTCCTGAGATGAAAAGGGTTGGGAATCTCTGGGCTGCAGCCTTCAGGATGCAGCTGGTGGGCTGGAGGTGCCAAGGGAAGATGGCATCCAATCTGCCCGCTCTGGGGAAGGGAGGAGCCAGCCACCCGCTGGACTCCCTGGCAGCCCTGGAACAGTGGGTGTGGCCAGGGACGGACGGGCACCCCTTGCTCTGTGGCCAGGATCTGGGAAGACTTTGTCATCCGGGGACTTCACCTGGTCCACAAGGACGCCCTGGCCCTGGGGAGTGGACACCGGAGGGGCCGGCGGGTTCTCGGCCGCCCACCTCTGCTGGGGCCTGCTTGGGTGTTAACCTTGCTGGGCCCGGGTTTTCTAATCTTTAAAATGGGCTCGATGCTTGCCTGGCACACCTGCTAGGCTGGCTGTGACCCCCTAACCAAACAGGACGTACGTCCAGTCGCTGTAAAGACATCTGATTGTGTCCTGGGGGGGCGTGGTCCTCCTCCTCCTTGTCCTAGACCATGAGGGGAGATGGCTGAGGAGCTGCGAAACCTCAGGCACCTGCAGACATGACAAGCTCCTCAAAGCACGGAGATACAGACATAAAGGGGGTTCCCTCTTATCACCCCTGCGTTCAAGTATGTCCGTGCAACGTCTTGCCCAGCCCTTGGCGACATCTGGGTCTGAGTCCACGTTTTCCTTCAGGGGGTTCAGGTAGCTCATCTTGATCCAGTTCAATTTCAAAGCGCTCCTCTTCTTTCCCCCCTGCAGATGGCACGGGGACCTCCACTGGGAGAGGAGACTGGCCTTGGGCATCTCCTCTGGGTGGGGTGAGGAGGCAGGAGAAGAGGGAGGACGAGATCTCAACCCCCTGGGCTGGGGCTGTCCTCTGGGGAGCCAGGGGTCCCTGCCCAGGGGGATGAAGGTTTCCGTGGAGCCATTTTCAGCTCCACCCTCGCCTCTTTCAGCCCCTGGACCGACCGGCAGGCACGTGGGTTCTGTTCCTCCTCCAAACTCCCCGTGTGCCTTCCCCAGGAGCACAGAGACCTCCGAGGGCTGGGTAACCAGAACAGGGTGCCATCACCCCACCTTCCTTCTCAGCATGGGGTGGCCCGGCCCGGGCCTTCACACGGCACCGAGCCTGGAGCCCAGACTCCAGAACTCTGCTCCGGGAGCAGGTGTGCTCCGTGTCCCCTGAGGGCAGGCACCCCGAGACCTGGAGCGGTCTTCTGGGGCCCCCCTCCCGCAAAGCATGGCTCCAGAGGAGAAGGCCCACCCTGTCCCTCTCCCAGCTTCTCCTTTCACAGCCCGGTGGGGTGGCCATGGTTGGAAGTAGCCAGCAGCAGAGGAGAGGTGCCTGGCTTCTAGGGAGAAGCTTTGCAAGCAAAGGACTTAGCCCTTTGTGGCTACCGTTCAGAACAGCAGGTGGCCTTCCCCGCCAGCCTGGATTTGCGGTAACTGCGTCTTTCTGTGCCGGCTAACTCCTTGACCACACCCTCTGGTCCTCACCCTGACGCTGTGCTCCCAGCACCATGACGACCACCTCTGTTTCCACCAGGGCCCAAAGTGGGGGGACCATCGCTTCCTGCAGGCCTCTCGCCGCTCAGTGGGGTTTGCACCCTCATCTGTCTGCGCCCAGAGCGGGGCCTGTAACGCCTACAGGTGCCTGCTCTGCAGGCTCGGCTTGGGGACAAGAGACCTGCTTGGGCTCGGTGGCCTTCCCCGGCCTGTCTCTGGGATAGCTGGGGATGTGCCTCCCAGAAAGACGTTCCAGCCGTGTGTGTGTGTGTGTGTGTGTGTGTGTGTGTGTGTTTGAAATGAACAATGCAGGGCTGCCCCAGGGAGGGGTTTGGAGGTCGCCTCGGCCACCCTGCAGTCATACCCAGTCAGGCCAGCATCCTCCCCCTCCATCCCAGCAGCTCTGAGCAGAGGAAGCAGGAGTCCCACTCTCTCCCCCTCACCAGGAAACCAAGCAGCAAGGGGGAAATCACTTTGGTCTTCAGAGAGCCAGGACGGGCTCTGTGGCCCCACAGGTCTGGGCCGGGGTGGGGGGACAGGAGGAGGGGGGTAGGGGGAACCCGATGACAGTGTCGGAGCTGGAAGTGGCTGAGCCGGACCGCTGGGTGGCTGGGCGGCACGGGGTTCCGAGCTTGAGGTTAGCTCCCCTCCAGGAGCCAGTCACAGCCTGGCTGGCCGAGAACTGCCTGCTGAGCCGACCGACCGGCACTGATTTCTGGCTCCACTAAGGGAAGGGGGAGCACCAGCTCTTGTAATCCTCAGGACAATTCTAGCAGGTAGAGATACACATTCCCATTCTGCAGAAAAGTCGAGGCACCGACAGGGAGGTTACGTAATCTGCAGAAGCACCCTGATTCTCTTAACCACGTGTCCCAGAGGCAGGCAGAGAGCCCGGGGCTCCGTGGCTTCTGTGAGTCCTCAGCCCAGAGCTCCCCTCGGACGGCATGGGGAGGGGATGAGCACAGGCCGTACACGCTGGCTCTCCACGACGCCTCTCCCATCCTCTCTGCACCTTTGCTCTGGGCAGAACCCGCCCTCTGCATTGCCCCTCAGGGCTCACCCTGGGCGGGTCTCTCCTCCTGAGGGACGACGGGACAGCCTCTCCCCCTCGACCTCCTTTCCGTTCTCACCTCCTTCCCCCTCCCTCTCCCTTCAGAAGGCAGTTCAGGTGGCGTTCATTAGCACATGTTAATAAGTATCAATTCATTTCTCAAGTCTCTCCGCTGCTGGAGAGGAGAGAAGGACGACTGAGCTGCCACTCTGGGGGTACCGGGTGCACAAGGCCAGGACAGGCCCCCGGGGAGAGGGAGGAGGGAGCACAGTGCCCAGCTTGGGGAGTCCTGTCTGCCGTGCCCAGGACTGTGTCCCCTGAGACCCGTATGGAGCAGCCCCAGCGCAGTGTGGGACCCTGCCAGCCCAGGCCTCGGCAGTTTCCCACCATATCCCCAAGTGGGTGTGGCTAAGACCCTGAAGGGAGTGGTCTAGTTCTGTCACTCCCTGGGCAAATGCCTAAAAGCCCCCCTGGAACCCGTCCAGGGGGGGAGGCAAGGACCAGGGGGCGGAGGGAGGCAGAATGGGAAGGGCAAAAGCCAAGGCCCAGGGATCCAGTCCCATCTGGATTCTCCCTGGTTGGCCCTGAGTCTAACAGGCCCTGGTTGGCTCCAGAAGAGCCTTGAGAATGAGCAGCTTCTCCCCAAGACTGGACCCCACGAAGGGGCCAGGAGCCCGTGAAAACAGAACCGGGTGCAAATTCCTGTCCCCCCCGTCCGATCCTTGGCTGGCACGCCGTTTAGCCCACATCAGAAGAGTGGTCCCCGCAGCCTCCCGGCTGTGGAAGAAATCAGACAGAAGAAGGAGAGCGAAATCCGAACTCCAGGTGCTACACACTCGCCAACATATGATTGGCACCCTTGAGGTTGCAGTTCCTACTGTTGTCATTACTGCTGCTGCTGGTCATGGGAGCTGCACTCAGATGATGGTCAAGACAGAGGGAGCAGAGAGGCAAGGGCAGCCTCACGCCCGCCGCTCTGCACCCCAGGCGAGCCTGTCTCCCTGACCCGCCTGCCTCTGCGAGGTCTCAGCGCCCCCCGCTGAGAAACAAGCCCTGAGCAGCCCCAGGGCGGCCACCGCCCCTCTGCGGCCCGGGCCGACTCCCTGAGCGCGCGCGCCCCCTGCCGGCGGCGGCCGGCGGCGCAGCCCCGCGGACGGTATATAAAGGCGGCGGCGTGGCGCGCAGGACCCGGCGGAGCGCGGAGAGCGGAGCGCAGGGAGAGAGCACCGCTGGCGCTGCCGCCGCTGCCCCAGGTCCCCGAGCCGCTCGCCATGGCTGGCCCGCAGCAGCAGCAGCCCCCTTACCTGCACCTGGCCGAGCTGACGGCGTCCCAGTTCCTGGAGATCTGGAAGCACTTCGACGCAGACGGTCAGTACAGCTCCCCAACTTCTTCGGTGCCCATCCGACCCCGGGGGACCTGCGGCGGAGGGGAACGGAGCGCTGCTGGAGGCGGGCAGGGGACCTTTGCTTTAGGGGCCAGGGGGGTGGGGGGCGTGTGGACTGCAGAGCCTGCTGATCTGGGGGGGGCTGGAGGGAAGGGGGGGGGGCCCTGAGTCTGGGAGGCATCCCGGCTGCTCTGATGACAACTGTCAGTAACTTTTCTGCCCACCGGCTTTTGGCTTTGGCAGCCGCATTCTGGGCAGGTTGGTGCCTTCCCAGAGGCGGCCTGGGGGGCTGGCCAGTCTTCCTGTGAGTCCCCCTCGCCCTCTGCCACCTCATCGTCCCGCCTTGAGCTGCAAGGGAGCCGTCCTGCCTGCAGCTGCCTGCAGCTACAGGTCTCGGAAGCCCACTCATGTCTTCCAAGTTCCCCTTGGGTTGAGTACCAGGTTGGCCCTGGGGTCTGCGGCAAGCTGCGGGGGGGGGGGGGGGGCGGGCGGAGTGGAGGGGGCTGGGGTCCTGAAGGGAAACCCTTAGCCTCCCCAGCCCTCTCCGTGAGGAGCAGGAGTGGAGAATGGCAGAATGGGGGGCCCTGCACACCCCCTGGGCTTCCCCCACCCACGTTCCATCCCGGAGCGGGGGGTAGGGTGGAGGCAGAGCTGGGTGTCAGCCCGATAGGTTCCCTCCTGCATGGTGACAGCCTTGGGTGCTCTGGGTGATCCCACCTCCGAGTGGGGAGGGGAGGGAGCACACTGTTAAATGCCCTCCGTGACCAGCCCTCTGCTCCTCCAAAAAAGTGAGGCCTGGCCCAGATGCCCCTTGGAGATGGCTCCCAGCACTGAGATTGCCAGGGTCAGTCCTCGGGCATAACACACACACACACACACACACACACACACACACACACCCCGACCTCAAGAGGCTTCTGATTTCGCTGGAGACTTTTTCTCAAAAAAAAAAAAAAAATTATGTGGCCTGGTATATTCCTTCTCTGAGACCCTCCCTGGGGTGGGCATCCAAAATGTCCTGGCATCTCAGACCGCTGGCAGGGCGCTGAGATGGGAGGATGGGAGCCAGAGGGGGGCCTGGGGGTGGCTCACTTCATTCCTCCCCTCCCCTCCCTCAGCGTGGCAGGGCCCGGAGGGGGGTGGAGACCCAGCTAGCCTGCTGCCCAGCGCGCTGGCGAGTCAGGGGTTAACACCTGGGGGTGCTAAAGCCTGAGGTTCTGTTCCCTTGGAGCCAGCTGAGGAGGCTGGGGGCACAGGGGATAGGGCACAGGGTGTGTGGGTTCGGGCCGTGACCCGCCTCTGACCTGCTGAAGGAGGCGGGTAAGGCGGTGACACATCTGTGAAATGGGGCCACGGAGGGCTGGCCTTTCCGATCCCCGGCTGCCGCCCTAGGACTCAGTGCAAAGGGCTCTGAGACTCTGCCGGCCCCTGAGGACTCCAGATGACAGGCGCACCCCCTGAGGATGCTCCCTTTCCCGCTGGCTCCTCCGCTCCGGAGACTCGCACGATTCAAGGAAAGTTACCAAGTGGCCAAGGTTATGCCACCGGCCTCCTGCCAGATGAGTCAGCGAGAAGCAGAGGGCTCCTCGGTTCTGCTTCACCCCCTTCTCCCGTGCTCTCCACAAGCACGCTCGTCCTCACGTCCACCTGAGACCTGGTGCTTCCCAAAACACGGGCGCACCTTCTTGAGGTCCACGCCGTGGGCCTGCTGGGCAGGCCGGGGTCTTCTCGTGTAAATGAGGAGACGGGCACAGAAGTGGCTTCTCCAAGACGGAGTGGGAAGGTGGAGGTGGAGGTGGAGGTGGGGCCGGTGACCGGGCATGCCTGGGTCCCCTCGAGTACCTGGACCCCTGCTCTGCCTCCCTCTTGCCCCCCATCGGAGAGCCCCTGGCCCAGCCCCCGACCCGGCCTCAGAGGGATGGGCCTTCCTCTCCTCCCAGACAGCTACGCTGCCACTAGACCCGAGTCTTTACAGTCTTTACCGTGGCCCCCTCCTGCTCCGAGGTGAAAGGGGAGTGGAAGGCCTGCTTCTTGCTTGTCCACCAGGCACCCCGTTGCCCTCTGGGGTCATGGCCTCGGGCAACCCCAAGGAGGAAGAAGACAGGCAAGAGAATTAAAATATGCCTGGTAGCGCAGAGGTGGTTTAATGGGGTTTCCACTAAAGGGCCCAGAAGCTGTGGGCTGCCTGCTCCACAACTCCCCTCCCCGTGTCCCCTCTCAGACACCGGAGCCTGCAGGCAGCTCGCCCCTCACCCCCGAGGTGTCCCCCACCCCGCCCAGGGCCTCCCTCTCACTAACTCCGGCTTCTGTTTTCCTCTTGGGGTTGCTTCCCCCGAGCCCCACTGCTGCTCACACGCTTAAAGAGCACAGAGGGCCTCCCCAGGGGAGGGTCCCCGGAGTGAGCTCGCTGGATCCCAATTAGCCACAGCCACTGGGGAGAGGGAGCCTCTCCCCTCCTCCCCGCCCCCCCACACGCCCCTCCCCGCCCCGCACGCTGCAGTAAACAGAGACCAGGAGGCACTGGGCTCTGCGGAGAGCGGGGCTGGGCAGGGGGCTCGGACCCGAACTCAGCCATTCCATTCCGAGCCTGGAGGAAGAACCCTCCTCCTGGCCACTTCGCTCAAGGAGTTCGTTTTTGTTTGTTTGTTTGTTTGTTTGTTTTTTCAAAATTATCATCAGCCTTTCCGTTGAGAAAGGAAGGAGGTGTTTGAAGAGGGGGAGGTCACAGAGCAAAGAGGAGGCAGGGGGAGGGCGGGAATCCTGTCCCCGGGCCCCCCAGACTCCTCCACAGAGGCCAGCCAGGGCCATGCGTTTGGGAGGTTCCGACGTCAGCTCCCAAAAGCAGCCAAGCTGCGGCGGCCCTTCCCGGTGGCCTCCCTGCCTTCCGTGTCCGGGTCCACCCTGCTTCGCCGGGCGCTTTCTCGCTCCGCAAGGTGCAGGCGGCCGGGCCCGGGGGACCCGCTCAGAGCTCACGCTGACCTGTGCCCTTTGGAAGCAACGGAGCCGGGTTTCCCCCCCAGAGGCCGCCCCCGGGCCCCGAGGCGGTCCCAGCGGCTCCGACAGCCGGTCCACGTGCGTGCGACACGCTCACACGCGGGCACGGTCCTGTGAGCCGGGGCCCCCTGACCGAATACTGACAATGTGGGGGGCACGGCTTCCCTAGCACAGACATCAGTCAGGCCCCCCCCCGCCGGGGAGCACTAGGCCGCCCGCGAACTGGTCCTGACGCGGGAAAATGTCCGCGGGTTTTAGGAACGCGGGCAGAACGATCCTAGGGTGCGGGCCCGGCTTTGCGATGCGTGGACCCGGTTTGCTGGGGGAGGTTTCCGAGGCGAGAAGAGCCGTTCTCCCTGCAGGGCAGGTGACGTGAAACGAAAAGGCATTTTCTTTTCTGAGTTAATTTCCACCGCGCGTGACACAGTCACGAGAGCATGTGTTTCTTGTGTAATCGGCAAAGCAAGAAAGATGTAAAAGAAAGTCATTTTAGGGACACCTTCCCCCCCCCCCACCCCACCCCAAAGGAACATATACACACCCCATCTCCAGGGTGAGACTCGGCCCGGCTCCAGGAGGCCTGGGGATGCTGGGCGCCCTCACCGCCTCTCCCTCACTCCTCCCCCGTGTGGCCCCGGGCCTTGGAGAGCAATGACAGGAGGCTCCAGGGGCTGCGGGAAGCCCAGGGTTTCTCCCCTCCTCACCCAGATGTGCCAACAGGCCCTCCCTCCAGGCCCCCGTCGCCGAGGGCCCGGGGGGGGGGGGGCGGGGGAGGAGGACACCAGGGCCTCTCCGAGGGGCAGCCAGGCCGGGCAGCTGCGATGATGGGATATCAAACATTCAATCATGGCTCGGGACCCACCGAAAAGCAACGTGCCCGGCCAGGGGTACGGACTCTCTGGCTCCTCCGAGGTGTTTACCCAGACACCGCAGCCTCTGCAGTGAGTGAGTGCGACGGAGCCGTGCTGTTCGAGAGGTTCACTGCAGGGCTTATCGACGGGATTGCTTCCTGGCGCCCCCCGGTCAGAGGGCTCTGGCTGGGGGAGCCCAGGCCGGAGTGGTCAGGGAGGCCTCCTCTCGCCCTGCCAGGGTGTCTCCCCGCGGGCGGCCTCCTTTGGGGGTGGCGTCAGGGTCTGGGCCCCCAGGGAGCAGCCTCCTGCCCCATCTGGGGGTGACCCTAGGAATAAGTACCCCAGCACCGCCTCCGCCGCCTCCCCTGACGCCCCACTTGTTTCATGGTCAGTGCCCTTCGGTGTGGAGTGCCCACGGTGCCAGCCCTGAGCGGGTGCCCCCTGTGCAGATCCCTTGCCCAGCGTCCTGCCTCTCTGCCCGGGGCGGGGAGGGGGGGTGCGCCAGCCTGGGAGGCAGCTGTGTCTGGGAAGAGCCAGGGCCCCAGGGGGGCAGCCGCAGGGACAGGTGTTTACAAACAAGACTGCTGCCCGCCTGGGCTGTCCCCTCTGGTCTCCAGCGGTTTCACTAGCGGAGGAGGCCCCTGGGGGAGGCGCCAGGGCCCCGAGACCCAGGGGGGACCCTCTTCAATCCCCGGGGGCCAGAATTCACAGAGCCGCGTGCCTGTGGCTCCTCAGGCAGGGCCTGGCCCCCTCCCTGGCCCAGCCGGTCCCACCTGGGGCCTCTGGCTCTGGCTCTGGCTCTCTCTCCCCTCCCCTCCCCTCCGGCTCTCTGCGGCCGCCCCTCCTCGCTCGCCCAATCTGCCCCATCCTTCTGGCCTCGCCCACGCCTGGGACCGGGCCCAGTGCGAGCTGCCAGCTGCCCCCCACAGGGTCAGGGGACTCGGCCCAGCTCCAGCCACCGCTCCAGAAGCACAGGCTCAAGTCAAGTAGCTGTTTACGCTGGGATCCCCACTGGGAGGGAGAGAGGGAGGGAGGGAGGGAGAGAGAGAAAGAGTGAGAGTGAGAGTGAGAGTGAGAGAGAGAGAGAGAGAGAGGGAGAGAGAGGAGAGAGAGAGACCAAGACACACAGACAGGGACA